ATGGTATTTCTTCTTTGGAGATGAAAAGCTGTTTAGAAATCATTTAATAAAAGAAAACTTTGTCTTCCTGGCCACACTATCTTATTATAGCTGGGGTGAGGAATCTGTGGCCCTCTAGATGCTGTTAGACTCTAAAACCCAACTCGAGTCCCAGTCATAACAGCCAATGTGCAAGGATGATGGGAGTTGTAGTCCAGCAACATTTGGAGGGCCACAGTTTCTTTATCCCCATAGCATCTTCTGAGGGTGCCACCAAGTCTGATAGGACTTCCAGACACCGCTCTTTGGTGTCCCCAGACTGATAGGCTATGTAGTCAAAGCTGCTTCAATGCAGGGTCTGGAAATGGACAAGACACGCAAAGAAAGTGGATGAAGCCAGGCATTGGCTTTTCTGAGACATTAGAGAAGTGTTCTCAGGTTCAGTCCCCATCATCCACAGGTAAGACTGGGGAAAACCTTTGTCTGCAAGCCAGTATTGGTCCTGCCAGTCAGTGTGGACATATCTGACCTAGATGGACCAAGGGTCTGATTCAAAGAAGGTCACTGAATCAGCTATCTCTTGCCATTATCTGGTAAGTGGGGACATAAGTAGGTAGATTACTCTTTCTATACCCATCCATCCATCCATCCATCCATCCATCCATCTCCTCTAATCATCACTAAATTGATTGGCAATGGCACCATTTCAGAATAGAATCAGAGCTGTGGTAAACTTGGATTCAGAGGAGCATAGGGTAAAATTACAGGGGATGATGATGATGATATATTTATATGCTGCCCATCTGACTGGGTTGCTGGGATGCAGGTCTCTCTGAGCACTGAGTTAGACTGCAGTCCTTTCCAACCCAAGTCAGTGCTTAGAACTTAAAAACTGCAAATGTCTTCCTTCCTAAGGCTTTTCGTAAAGCATCTTTGACTTCATTATTCCTGATTGTGTATATGAAAGGGTTCAGCACTGGGGTGACAATCATGTTCAATACAGACACAGCTCTGACCACACCTAAAGAAGAGCCCTTGACAGAAGGTCTCAAGTAGATGAAAAGGATTGACCCATACAAGATGCTGACCACAGTCAAATGGGAGGCACAGGTGGAGAAAGCCTTCCACTGTCCACTGGATTAAGTGATACGGAGGATCGTGGAGATGATGAAGATGTAAATTGCAACCGTCAAAAGCAGAGAGCTCAGGATCACAGACACAGACACGGCAAAGCCAAGGGCTTCAATGATTTTTGTGCCCTCCCCCTGCAATCTTTAGCAAAGCTCCAACATCACAGAAAAAATGATGTACAATGTTGGAGCTACAGAAAGGAAGCCTCACAGCCTTCAACACCTGGAAAATAACTGAGAAAAAGCCTGCAAGCCAGGCAGCCAGTGCAAGCTTAAGGCAAACCTGAGAGGTCATGAGGGTGGGGTACCTCAATGGATGGCAGATGGCTAAGTATCTATCAAAGGACATGATAGAAAGAATGAAAAACTCTGTGACACCAAAGAGGAAGTAGAAGAACAACTGTGCCATGCAACAGTGGAAGCAGATCATCTTCTTTGCTGACAGGAAGTTGACTAGCATCTTCGGTATAAACACAATCTCAATAATAGACAAGTTGCTAAGGAAGAAGTACATTGGCTTCTGGAGCCGATGGTCCACAGTCACGATGACAATGATGAGACCATTCCCTGTAAGGCACAGAAGGTAGAGCAGGAGGATCACCACAAACAAAAGGATATCCATGCCCTGAAAATGGGGGAATCTCAGAAGGATGAATTCTGTCACTCTTGATCAATTTGTTAAGTCCATCCTTTGAGTCTGCAAGTAGACAGGAGAGAAAAAGAGCTAATGAGGAAAATAGGAAGCTGCCTTCTGGTGAGTCAGACAATAGGGTCATCTAGCTCAGAGTGGTCTATCACACAGCTCGAGGGCTACATGCTTGATCTTGTAAAAGCTTGACCTTGTAACTGTTGTTACAGTTGTGCAGTAACAACAGTTGTGCAGCCCATAAGCATCCCACACTGACCACAATGACCACTCACAGATGGTACGGCAGCAGAAAGCAGACTTAGCATCAGCTCCAGGCATGCTAGCACGGACAAGCCAGGACAAACCAAGTAGTGAAAAATCTGCTCATTTTGGTTCTCCAATTTTACCTCCTTCCAAATTTAAAATCCATTAGCTCTTTGCTACAAATTTCTCCCAATCACCACATTTACATATGCAGTTTGGGTTAATATACAATCTCTGTCCATTTAGGGGAATGTAGAATTTGTGTTCCTGGCATTGGGTAATCAGGACAGATTATGGCTTCTGCTGGTTTTCTATGATGGCTGTGTGTCTAAACCAGAAACAGTTAAAAACATTCCCTTAACCAGTGATCTAAGGAACAGGGGGTAAACCGAAGTGTTTTCAAATTCCTCCTAAAAGTGAATAATGATGGAGATGGCTACACCTCTCTAAAGAGTGCATTCCATAAATGGGGAACCACCACTGAGCAGACCCTATCATGGGTCTACACCAGCCAGGCTTCCCTAGTTGTTGCACCACCAACAAGGCCTCACTGGATGATCTCAGGGCCTGAGATAATTGATATTGTAGAAGGTTCTCTTTTTCTGTACTTGGGCTCCAAGCCTTTTTAATGGCTTTATATGATAGCACCAACAGCTTGAATTGGTCCCACCAGCTCACTGGCAGCCAGAGTTTACAGGACAGTGACATGTGGTTCCACTGGACTATCCATGTGTCTGGTGAAACCCAGTATCATTAGTGCTGTCTACATGCACAAGGTTTGCAGAAATATGCTTTAGAAAAAATGTAAGCAAGGGAACTGCAGCATAATGCAATGAGGACTCATCATATTCAGCGGCCACGGAATTCTGAGCGTCCATTGTGTGCGTGTGTAGGAGGGAGAGAAAACCTTTCAGGGGATCATGGAATGGTGTATTTCAGAAAAGAGCATGGCTGACTGACTGGAACTTTGAATTCTGCAGTATCCTACTGCGGATCTCACTTGTAATACATTGATTTCATTTGAAAAGCCTACCCTCCCAATACAGTCATACCTCGGGATAAATACACTTCAGGTTGAGCGCTTTCAGGTTGCGCTCCGCAGTGACCCAGAAGTATCAGAGTGAGTTTTGCCACTCACGCATGCGCAGACAGTCAAAATGACATCACACGCATGCGCGGAAGCGGAGAAACACGACCCTTGCACATGCAGACGCGTTGTCGCATCTTACGTTCTATTCAGGATGCGAACGCGGCTCCGGAACGGATCCCATTCGCATCCCGAGGTACCACTGTATGCCTAATCCAGTCCATTACAGATTGAGCAGTCTGTAGCTTCAACATTTATCATGTTAATAGGCAAGGAACCATTAAATTGGCTTTAGATGTTGTAATAATATGGAATATGGAATTAAGCCTGCTGTGCCTTTCACATTCTTTAAGGGTGATGAAGAAGTCCTAAGAACATATGAGAATCCTGCTGGATCAGACCAGTGGCCCATCTAGTCCAGAATCCGGTTCTTACAGTAGCCAATCAGAAGCCATGGGGAAGACCAGAAGCAGGACCTGGGTGCAACAGCTAGTTAAGAAATAAGTGCTTAATTCAAAAGCAAATTATTTTTTAGTTAGGTGAATTCAAAACTATTTGTAATGCACAATGTTGATTTCCCTTATGGGAAATTACAGGGCTTATCATTAGAGAGCGAATCCAAAAACATTACGCAGAAGATCCATAGATAGCTCCTCATTTGCACCGTATAATTTGTGGGAAAGTTTTTAAACAGTGCAGATAATTTTAAACACATACACATACACCAAATTGCAGACACAGCATTGTGCATCTTGATGTTTCAACACATGCTTTGCAGGTCTAGGGAGCAATAATCTCAAGGCAATCTTCAGCAGGGCTGGTAGATAGAGACAGGAGATCAATCAGAACGGATATAGCTATGTAGCTGACACTAAGGGAAAGGACAGGATAGAATGGCAGCTGGATAAAACTCCAAGACTTCTGAAGAAGAAAATCCATAGGATTTCATTTCAGTAGGATGATACATCTGGAATATGACTGGCAAAAACATATAATTGGCTATCTGATTGTTGCCCTGAACATGCACTATTGGCATGTTTGTGATGGATCCAATAGCTATAATGTGAGTATATAATCCCCCAACCACCCCTTTTTAGAAAATACGCTTTGTAGTCTTAAAGCAGATACTCATTAGTTTTCAGTCATGCGTTCATTTCATGCAGAAGCACCCTCTTGCCTTACTTTGTATCATTTCTCAGATTCTACAAACCTAGACCTGAAAACAGCACTTATTTGAAATGTTTATTCTGCTAAAAGAATCTGTATTCTGCTAAAAACAACAACAAACCTCTCCCTCCAGCACAGATGTATCTCCCTCAGGAGGAATTTCCACAAATGTGGCTTGAGAACAAAGCCAAAAATCCTGGATTCAAGTTTGGATTCAGTTAAGTTCTAAAAATCCAAACTAAATCAAATTCAGTCTCCATTTCTAATGTCAGTATTTCCTTCCAATAAATTCCATCATCCTACAGAGGGAGGGAAGAGAACTAGGTGTAACTTATTGCCTCTGCTGAAATACTGTCACCTGGCAGCAGGCATTCCCATCAGGCTACTGAACCTATTTCTACCCTGGTAACTTTAAAAACAGGTCTCTGACCTTGATTTTTCACTCCTCGCTCCTTATCCCCATTTCTTTGTGTGTCATGAATTTTAAATCATGTGAAGAAATAGACTATCTTCCGCCTGATCTTGCATGAACCTGTGGGAGCCTCTTTTTATGTTTTTATTTTGCTGAGGAGTGGGATAGACATGCTTTAGCATGTTTAAAATAACATGGGGATACGGGAAATTCAATGAAATAAGGAGAGAAAATATATGCTGCTCTCTATTTTGGTGCAGGATGAATTGAATATCCAAATAATATTTTTTAAAGTTTCCATCACCTCTTCTTAACAATCTTGGTGACCCAGTTATGGATTTGACCAATTGCACAAGAGTGTCAGAGTTCATCTTGCTTGGATTCCCACATATTTGGGGAATGAACATCACCTTGTTCCTCGTGGTCTTCCTGCTCTACATTTTGTCAGTTGCAGGGAATGGTCTCATTATTGTCATGGTGAGAGTGGACCGTCGGCTCCAGAAGCCCATGTACTTCTTCCTTAGCAACCTCTCTTTCCTGGAGATGTGGTACACCACTGCCGTTGTTCCCATGATGTTGACCAACCTCCTGTCGGCAAAGACCACCATCTGCTTCTATTGTTGCATGGCCCAGTCCTACTTCCACTTCCTCTTTGGCATCACGGAGTTTTACATCCTCACGGTCATGTCCTTTGACAGGTACTTAGCCATCTGTCAGCCGCTCAGGTACACCACCATCATGACCTCCAATGTCTGCCTTCAACTTTCGCTGGTTACATGGCTAGGGGGCTTCTGCACCATCCTTTTGCAGACAGTGCTGGTCGTAAGGCTTCCCTTCTGTGGTTCCAATGTTGTCAACCATTTCTATTGCGACATTGGGCCCATGTTGAAGATCGCCGGTGGAGACACGCATCTTATTGAGGCCCTCGGCTTCCTGATTGCTGTGGCTGTGATCCTGGGCTCCCTGATGCTAACGGTGGTATCTTACATCTTTATCATCTCCACGATTCTGCGCATCCCATCAGCCAGCGGACAATGGAGGGCCTTCTCCACCTGTGCCTCCCACCTGACTGTGGTCAGCATCCTGTACGGGGCAGTCCTTTTTATCTACTTAAGACCTTCTGCCAAACACTCATCTTTCAGCCTCAACAAAGCCATCTCTGTGCTGAACACTGTGATCACTCCAGTGCTAAATCCTTTCATATACACCATCAGGAACAATGAAGTCAAGGAGGCTTTACGGAAAGCCTTAGGAAAGAAGGTGCAGAATCCACTTATACTGTGAGATCTGGACTGTATTGGGAATACTTACAGAGCAATCTAGTGCTAGGGATAGAGGAGGTTTCCATGTGGTCCACATTTTTAACCAAACTGTCCAAATTTGCACCTCACAGACTATCAGGTGGGTCAGAAGAACATCTCACTTCTCCAAATTTCTTGGCTTATTTTTTTAAAAAAAGGTACCCAAATGTCTAAAGTGCATATTCTATAAATGTGCATATTGTGTTCAAATATGTCCATTGTGACAATAAGACTTGGCTGTGTTTAGATTAATTTCTAAGATAGAGGTATCCCAAGATGGAGACAAATAATTAAATACAGATCAAAGATAGAAATGGATTAATTGAAACCGCAAAGAGTAGACAGAAGTCAACAAACCAACAAATTAAAAAAGGGACTCAATCCAGTATGAGGGGCTTTGTGAGTAGAATACCAGTAGAATACCCTGGTAGTGGTTTGAATGAATTAAAACTTGCTTTTTGTTTAATAGGTCATTTTAGTTTTGTTAGTTTTTTGGTTTTGTCGTCGTGCAATTTTCTCCCTCCCCCCTCCTTTTCTCTCTCTCTTTTTACTTCTTTTATATAATACACGTTTATTTTGGATTCTTGACAATTCAATTATATATGCTGTAATAACTATCTAGAAATATCTAATGTACGATTAGTTTGTTTTTTGCTTTTTTGTATGTTATGCTTGTAATATTTGTTGTTGTTTTTTAAAGAAAGATATAGACTGCAGTTTGCGGATTCCTGCATTGCAGGGGGCTGGACTAGATGACTATGTACAGTTCTACGATTCCCTGAGTCAGAAGAGGGATCATAGTTTTTCAAGGAAGGACTATATTGCTAATGATTCTCTGACTCCTGCAGTGGAAATGCATGGCGAAAGTGATACTAACAGTGCAAACCTGAAGGACTGATGCTAACCAGTGTGGAAAATTTAGATTGGACCACTGTTGTGACCCCAGTATAAAGCAGCTTCATATGCTCCTATGAGTAGTACTCAATCCTGAAATACGGGAGCTTATAATCACAGTCACTCATAGAGAGCCATTGTGGTGTAATGGTTAAGAGCGGTAGTCTTGTAATCTGGGGAACCGGGTTCGCGTCTCCGCTCCTCCACATGCAGCTGCTGGGTGACCTTGGGCCAGTCACACTTCTCTGAAGTCTCTCAGCCCCACTCACCTCACAGAGTGTTTGTTGTGGGGAGGAAGGGAAAGGAGAATGTTAGCCGCTTTGAGACTCCTTCCGGTAGTGATAAAGCGGGATATCAAATCCAAACTCATAGTCACACATCCCCATGGAGAATCCAAAAATGCAGGCAGCTTTGCTGATCTTATAGTGAGCTGACAATTGATGGTATAGTGGTTAGCATGGTGAACTTAAGCTTGAAGACTGGGATCCACAACCCTGATCATCTGTGACATTCACTAAGCGACCTTGGGGCAGTCCCTGATTGATCCTGATCTATCTCACAGTCAGCATAAAGTGAGGTGACCCAACCCTTTTTCTGTGCCACTCTGGTGTCAGTGGAAAGTGGAACACAAATGTGAACTCTGTTAAAGCATCATGTGGTCCATAGACTGCCATTTCTCATGATGGCTTGGTTTGAATGGGAGAACAATTGCTTAATGCTGTACCATATATTGAATGTGACGAAAGTGTCTTTTAAAATAGCCAAGCAAGTCTTTTGCTACGTTAACTAATGAAAACAGAACTTGTTTAACAACCCTGCTCCCCACTGCCACCAAATATCTGGCAAATATCACTCCTGTTAATCCACTCTGAGAACTGTACAGTGGTGCCCCGCAAGACGAATGCCTCGCAAGACGAAAAACTCGCTAGACGAAAGGGTTTTCCGTTTTTTGAGTCGTTCCGCAAGACGAAATTCCCTATGGGCTTGCTTCGCAAGACGGAACGTCTTGCGAGTTCTTGCGAGTTTGTTTCCTTTTTCTTAAAGCCGCTAAGCCATTAATAGCCGCTAAGCCGCTAATAGCCGTGCTTCGCAAGACGAAAAAACCGCAAGACGAAGAGACTCGCGGAATGGATTAATTTCGTCTTGCGAGGCACCACTGTAATTCTGGGGAGGGCAGTGGAGTAACAAACCATACTTCTCATTATTATTTGAGGGAAGCTTAAAGTCGTGCCTGGAACACCTAAGCTGTAACAATTGCCCGTACCGCCTCACAATTACATTTTGTAGTCCAGAAACTGGAAAGAAATTTCATACACTTTTCTACAAGATACCTGTTGCACTTCACAAGTGTTGTCACGACACCTAGTGGCCAGACCCAAACAAAACACAAACCTTAAATTAGACGCAAGCATTATGCTATAAGCAATATCTTCTTCCTCTTCTTCTTCTTCTTCTTCTTCTTCTTCTTCTTCTTCTTCTTCTCCTCCTCCTCCTCCTCCTCCTCCTCCTCCTCCTCCTCCTCCTCCTTCCTGCTGCTGCTGCTGCTGCTGCTGTATTTCGTAACCACCCTTCAACATGTCCCAGGATGAGCTACAACAATTTAAAAATACAATATTAAAATTAGTTAAAGCAAGTTACTGTCAAGTTGGAACTAAAATATATAATTCAGGCGTCAAAAGCAAAAGTAAATTGGATGCAATTTCAGCATACAACAAGCAATACATAATCAAGGTGCCAGATTCACTTTTGTGGTGAGGGTATCCCACAGATTTGGGGCTGTCACAGAGGAAATAATAATAATAATAATAATAATAATAATAATAATAATAATAATAATAATAATAATAATATAATGAGAGGTGCAAACTAAGGTCAATTTTTTAAATTCACCGCAGCGATAAAAAAAAGAGTGAATAGTTGGGCTGCTTTAAAAAATGCATTGCCACAAGAGGGCAGTAAACAATTTAACAGCACATTGGAATATAATAAGAAAAAAGGTGTTGAAACACCCTCCAAACACTGAAGAGAGTGTTCACCAAATCTTATTAGGAACAGAGTTCCATGATCTTGGGTGCTGTTCACATACCAGGTGCAGACGCCAGCCTTGCTGAAGATTGTCAGAACAATTCATTCCTTTGCTTGCTATCACATCCACCATAGTCAATAGCGTCACATTCATAGCATACATTTAAAGCACTTTGACAGTCACAGGGAATCCTGGGAGCTATACTTTGTTAAGGCATAGCTTCCAACATGCCGCAGAAGAAAATCAGGATTTACATCTTTTGGGGCCATGCTCCCGAGTGAATCATATTACTCGCACGAGATGGCACGCACCCCCCCCCCAAATGTGCTTCTTTCAGGGTTTCTCCTTGTGGGAGCCAGGTGACTCATGCAAGAGTGTGGCCTCCCAAAATGTGCTTCTTTCAGAGCAGTGCTCTTGCGGCAGCCAAAACGGAACATCCCAGGATCCAATCAGAAGACAGGATGGCTTCTGTAACTCTAGGATGCCCTGCTCAAAACAGGACAGCTGAGAGGTATGATTTAGGATGCTGGAAGTTGCAGCTTGGGAAATTAGCACCATTAACAGCCTACAGTTCCCAGAATTAGACATGACTGTTAAAGTGGTTATAGCAATGCTTTAAGTGCTCATCTGCACCTACATTAACCCTGTTGGGTTTCCCCAGGGAAACCCAGTCTTTAGCACTGAATCAGAATGTATGGCAATTGGATTTTCGATGGATGGCTGTTTGTTCTTCTTTAGTGCTAAAGAGCAGGTTTTCTGGGGGAAAGCAGTGGGGCAAAGGCAAAACCACCCCGACTCATGCTTAGATAGCACAGGACAAGTAGAAAACCACTCAGGTCTGTGATTTTTGGGCACAGGGGAAAGCAGAAGTGTGGACAAGCCCAAAATGTATGGTATGGATGTGACCTCAATTGAGAAAATGAACCCAAGAGGATCACATTTGAGAGCAGCAGAGATCATACATGGGAGCAATCAATTGGTCTCAGATTCACCAGTCAATAATTAGAATAAGAAAAAGGACTGCACTGGAAGCCACATGGGCAAATATCTAATCTTAAAATTAGACCAGCCTCTTGGGGGCAGCAAAGGGCTAGAAATTAGAGGTAGCCATATTGTTTTCTAGTTCTTGTGTGTGAAAACCACAGAAAGTTTCATATAACTTGTTGAGCCATACTTTCCTTCACCACCACCACAGATGCTACTTTGGGGTTTTGTAAATGAATTGCAACTCTGTTTTTTATTGTTGGTGAGGGAGTGGCTGCTGTTTGCTTGCAGCGCTGTGGGTGGCGCTGTGGCTCCATGGAAGGCAAAAAAAGTTACGGTGAGGTTTGCAGAAAAGTGGCTTTCGGCAAACAATGAGTAGAAAGTGGTTTCCTTTTTTATTGCTAAGAGGAAGGGTAAGGGGGGGATGCTGATTTTAGGATGCCTACTCTTACAAAAGTATCATCATCATCACCATCATCACCCATTATCATCATCATTAATTTATCCCCCACCCATCTGGCTGGGTTTCCCCAGCCACTCTGGGCAGCTCCCAACAGAATATTAAAAGCACAATAAAACATCAAACATTAAAAATGTCCCTAAACAGGTCTGCCTTCAGGTGTCTTCTAAAAGTCAGATAGTTGTTTATTTCCTTGACATCTGATGGGAGGGCGTTCCACAAGGCAGGCGCTAGTGCCAAGAAGGCCCTCTGCCTGGTTCCCCGTAACCTCACTTCTTGCAGGGAGGGAACCGCCAGAAGGCCCTCGGTGATGGACCTCAGTGTCCGGGCTGAATGATGGGGTTGGAGATGCTCCTTCAGGTATACTGAGGCCATTTACAGCTTTAAAGGTCAGCACCAACACTATGAATTCTGCTCAGAAACGTACTGGGAGCCAATGTATGTCTTTCAGGACTGGTGTTATATGTTCTCAGCAGCCACTCCCAGTATGGTTTCAGGGGGTAGTGAGGAATGGATACATTTAACTGTCTCCTTTGCAAAGCTCCCCATGTTAAAACCATTTCTCCACACCCGGGTTTCAGTTATTCTGAGCTGTGAAGCTTCCAGACTAAACAAAGAA